CAGAGGGTCAGTCGGGGCTTCGACTGGCTCAGGCCAGCGTTGGATTTCGGATCGTTTTTGCGTCCCTGTGGACGGTTTGGCTCGGCCCTCCACCGTTCACTGAAACCTCAGAGAGGTTTTAGGTCTGAGCGGTTTGAGGTGGCAAGAAGCCGTGGGGGGGAAACCTTTAGATTCTTGAAACCGTTTTCAGGTTTTCTGGTGCAGATGAAAACAAATCTGAGCAGATTTGTTACTCAAAAGACATCCGGCTGTTAACGACTCATATGGGTGTGCGTAATTCAGTAGAAGAAGCAGTTGTATGACTGGAAACACGCCTAAAGGAGGGAGTAAAGACAACAACACGTGTGGTGGACATCCACAGGAGTTACACACTAATTTGACAACAGCTCAGATTTAGGACAACTGGTGGGTGGAGTTAGAGCCAGACGAGTCATCAAAACTGGACAAATATGTAAAACGAGCCCCCTGAAAAGCTGCCCCCGCTCAGTCTGTGGTTCAAAGGTTAGACGCTTCCATGGAACGGGGAATCCAGCCTGGAGCTAAACCGGCAAGCGGCTGAGCAACTAGGAGAGCAATGATTCAAAAGGCTGAGATGAGAAGGGAGGGGGGGGATAATGCTGCCATTATCACCTCAGGTCTGGACAGGTGGTCATTAGGGAGGTGTGTGCTGACAGGTAGTCTGCAGCCACTCCCAGGACCGGCCCCCGGAGGTGGGGCAGCCGGGGGCCTGTCGGCTGAGGTTTTGTCCCTCGAATCTCAGATTTTGAATTAAAAACTGATAGTAAATGAGCCACTTTGAGCTGGTACATGTGAGATAAAAGGTTTAAAAAAAAAAAGGGCTTTGATTGGATGGAAGCTGAGGGGGAGGAGGATGTTTATGGAGGAGGGCAGCAGATGCTAAATTAAAGAGGGAATTCAAGAGCAGTGGGGGGAAAAAACAAAGTTCAGATTTTTTAGATCTGCGCTCGCTGGTGCTGCGTGTTTGTTTTCCCATTGGAGGACACAATGGCCGGCCGGGAAAGGCTTATCAGGCAAAAAGAGCAAAAACGGGCCGACGTTTGGCCTCCGAAGGGGGAAAAAGGAAAGGGCAGGATTTCAGACTGGACATTAAGGCCGAGTCCTACTAGTTCTAAACGGGTTTCTGTTCCCGGCTAAAGGCCGATGACCACAAGAAGAGGATGAAGGAGAGAAAAGCTTTTATTTGTGAGTAACTAGTATTATTTATGAGATAAACTCCATGTCCAAAGTCTGAGCCGGGGTCAGGATGACTCTGGGGTTCCCCTCGGCCCCCCTTTCTACACACCTACATGTTACACGGGGACTGAACGATGTCATAGCTTCCGGGTCCAATCACAGCTGCAGATCCGGCTCCAACAGAAACTCAGGAGCGGGTCCAGTTCCCGTCCTCCAGCAGAACAGCTACTTTTACAGCCCGCTTTTGGTTCAAACAGACCTCTCGTGTTTA